CTCCCTGGGGAAGGAGCACTCGGGGTGAAAGAAGCCATCAATAATAAAATGTCAAACCCAGCACCTTGGTGGAAAACACAGCCGCTGAGGAAGGGGCCTGTCCCTGGGCCGCTCACGCTGTCATGCCTGCCCCTTGGGGCCGCAAACTGAGGCCCCCTTCAAGGGTGCAGGAGTTTCTCTCTGCACAGCTGGTCCCAGCCCTGTCCCTTCCCCGAGACACTCCCTCTTCTCCAAGCCTCTCTCCCTGAGGACTGAGTTCTGGGGAAGGTTCCTGAGAGATACGATTCCTAAGGCCTGGGCAGTCAGCCCTGAAAGGAACACCACACTCAGGCCTCTGTGAGGGTCCTCGGTGCCGAGTGCTGCCCCCCTCCCCACTGCCAGCGCTTCAGGAAATTAAACATTACCTGCAACTGTGAGGGGGTGTCCTAAGTTCTAAAGTTGCTCACATCGTCCTTCTAGAATGTTCTCAAGGCACCAGATGCTGCTGCTTCGGTTCCAGGGAAACCACAGGGGTCAGAGGGGCTCTTCCTCAAAGGCTGTCCCCTCTGTGGTCACTAGAGCTCCAGGCTCCTGGGCTGCACTTCACAGACCACGCACGGAACCGAAGTCAGAGACGCCAGGCTCAGGCTACCTGCACCTGCATGTGCTCACGGTCTCGGTGGCTCTTCTTGGTCTCTCTCTGCCTCTTTCTCTTGCTCTTACGCCCCTGATCTTCATGCCTCTCTTCTCTCACTGTCTCTCTTGTCTCTGTGTGTGTGTCTCCCTGTCTCTCTGCCCGTCTCTCTCCTCTTGCGCTCTTGCCCTCCTGCTGTCTCTATCCTGACTTCTATCTCTCTCGCTCTGTCTCTGTGTCTCCCTGTCCAGCTGTCTCTATCTTCTTGCCGTTCTCCTGTCTCTCACTCTCGAGCTTTGCAACAGGAGCGAGGAGGATTTGTCCCCCTCAGCAGCCCTTCGGTCCCTGGTCCCCTCCCATGTCAAGAGGAGTCCTCAAGTTCCCTCTCAGAAGCCACCTGGCACTTCCGTGGTGTGAGGACGGAGGATGGGTGGTAGCCATGCCCTGCACACACCCTCGAAGGCCATCCACCCACAGGCCTGTGTCCACGGCAGGAGGAGCCTGTGCCCCCACCCCGTCCTGCCCCACTGAGGAACGTGCCCCTCCACCCCACAGGAAGGGTCCCGAGCCCAGGCCTACCATCGTGGACGAGCAGGTGTGGCCGCAGGCCTCTTGCCCTCAGCAGCTGGCAGGCGGCCGGGGCCGGAGCGGTCACCTCGCCCTCCGAGAGGTGGAAGCCCAGCCTGCGTAGCAGCTGCACCAGCTCCCGCCGTGACTTCTGGGACTCGTTGGTGCAGAAGCGTACCTTCAACCCGGACCTTTTCAGCCTGCGGGGAAGGAGGGGTGGGTACTGTCCTTGGGCCGATCGGAAACAGGGCAAGGGGGCAATGGGCAGCTGGCACCCAGGAGGGTCACCTCAGGGGTGTGACTTAGGTACTCTGACCCTCGCCCAAACCAGACCCCTGTCGTGCGGTCAATTCTGACACTCAGTGAACCTGTAGGATGGAATACAGCTGCACAGGGAGGGCGGGGTGCGGCTGAAGCAGACAGTCTCAGGGTTCCTCTGAGGAGCAGCTGGTGGGTTCGAACCACCAGCCTTGCAGTCAGTAGCCCAACACTTATACCCACTGTGCCACCAGGGCTCCTGGGGTCAGGGGGATCCTAACTATGACTCTCACAGCCATGTCCCCTCCCTGTCCCTATCGCAACACTCCGTGTTTCTTGATGCAGCGACCACTACTCGGCCCCAGCCTCGATGTGTCTGTCCATCTCCCTGACCTATGTCCCCTGAGCCATGTCCCCAGCACACGGGCCGACGGAGGGATCTGCTGACCCCAGAGAGAGGGTGCAGACCGCGCGAGGGGCAGCAGTGTCTTTCCGGTAACCTAGGCGATCTGTTTCTTTCTTACTATTTGTCTTTCCTAATCAGAGGTTTATGAATGATCAATTACACTTAGTGGTTAATTGCCCTTCACAAAGATCGCTTTTTTTAATTTTTAAATTAGGCGGTTAATATATTGTAACTAATCGCATCCCCTTGCATCTCACAGATAGATCTTCATTGGCAGGCAGTGGGGAGGTGTGATTCGCACCCAAGTTAATGGAGCAGTTGAGCAAAGAAATGCAGGGGTCCCGGGGGGGCTAATGATTGCTAATGGGTCATGTGTGACCTTCTCAGAACAGTGAACAATCCCTGCACCAGGGATGGCAGGCCTCACATCTGCCACTCCAAACACAGCTTCTGATGGGGGGGGGGTGTCGCTGAGGGGACCCCCGCCTCCTCTGAAATGCCCACCCTCATCCACCCCTGCTGCCAGCCGGCCATCTGAGCCAATGTCCATGCTACGGTGGAAACTGTGCTGGACGCCCTGATGCAGAAGGCCGGGGTCAGGCCCTCTCCCACACCTGGCCTCCTCTTGGTACCCACCCAAGGAAGGGTCTTAGGCCATCTCTCCCCATACATACATCTTAGGGCTAAAACGGGACCACCCACAAGAGCCCGAGGTGGGACGAGCCCATGTGTGCATCAGCGGCTGAGGGCCACCCGCTGGTGGCATGGTAGGTAATGCCTGGGTCTATGTTTCAGGCCCAAAGAGGCCGACTGTGCAGGTAGAGATTCTCGCCCTAGAGACCCTGTGGGGCAGTCAGGTCCAGGGTTCTTAAGGTGGTGCCCATCAGACAGAGCAGAACTGCTCGGGTATGTCAAGACTTTAAATCTATACCTAAGTAGGCAGCCTCATCTTTCTCCCGTGGAGAAGCGGAATCAAACCGCTGACCTTCAGCGAACAGCCCACGACACCGCCAGAGCTCCTACTCGAAGGCAGTGGGTTTCCGTTCGTGTGGAAGAGAGGGGGACAGGGAGTTAAAAAGATAACACAACAGTGAGCTTCCTAATAAAGCATCACGATGCGGGTAACAGAGAAGCTACGTGGGTGGGGCTACGTAAGTGAGCCCACGAAGCAAAAGCCGCTGTGCCCGTTTCACAGGTGAGAACACTGAGGTGAGAACACTAAGGCTCTGGAGAGGGTGCTCCGGCCAAGGTGGCCCAGCCTGTCAGCCGCAGAGCCTGGAAGCCCTGCACCCTCCTGCATTGGGCACATGGTCCCTGAACCAGCAACACTGCCTCCCGGGTCCCTCTGAGGGGAAGCCCTGCCCTGAGCTGGAGCCCCAAGGCATTTGGGACTCAGCCTCGGGAGGATGAAACACAGGCTCCTAGGTCAGGAAGCCAGGCCGGGGTAGGAGTTCTGTCCCAGGATGACCCACCTCGAGTGACCCCCGAGGGAACAAGCCACCCAGATTTCTGCATTCGACCCCGCCCACCCAAGAACCCCAGGGAAAGGGAGGCTCCATCAGAAGCTATCCTGGAGGGGGGAGGGGGTGTCTGCCACCACCCCAGTTCCATGAACTGACCTTTACCTCATCCGTCCCCACAGGCCAGGACGCACCTCTGAGTGACAGCGCTGCCCGGCACAGTCACCGCGTGTCCCCTTACAAATCACCCCGACTTCACACATCTGCTGGCTGTCGGCATCTGCCAGGAGCGCTCACCCGAAAATAATGAAAACCCTCTCATTACGGCTCCAGAACAGGTAGCGCGCGAGGACAATTACTGGACACCCCGTGTGACCTTGGCCAGCTCTGTGGCTGGTCCTCTTGGGCTGCCGGGCTAGAGCCAGGAGCTCCTGGGGGCTGGGCGGGAAGTGGCTGTCTTCTGTCCATCTCTCGGGCACTCAGGAGGGCTCCTCCCACACCCGCCTGGCCTGGGGTGGCAGATGATACCTCAAGGCTTGGGGCTCCTAAGGGGCCACAGTGTGGGCCTGCTTTCAGGTTGGGATCACCCAGGTAGATCCCAGCACCCGGTCGGAGCTCTGAAGCTAGCTAAGTCCACACCCCTGCTGCCCCTCATCCTGGTAGCTGAGTGGGGGAGGGCCTGGGAGACCAGGCAGTGAGTCCAAATCCCACCTGCGCCAACCTGGAGGTGGATGCACAGAGCTGCTGGGACCTCCTGCCTTGGGCTGGGGTCCTGACGCCCTTATCAGTTAGGTGGCCCGAGAGCCAACCTCTTGCTGTCCCTGAGTTTCAGCCTTGCCTGGGGCTGGGTGTCGGCAGTGTCTGACCCTCAGCTTCCTGGGACTGCTGAGAAGGGCGGCAAGGCGGGCACAGGCCCGGGGCCAAGCAGCCCTCACCTGTCGGGGTCAACACCAGGCTGGTTTTGGCCAGCAGCCCAGCTGAGCTTGCTGGGGCCCTGCCTCCTGGGCCCAGAGACTAAGGAGACATCAAGCCAGGGTGGGGGCCAGCCCCTGCCCTGCCCAGGGCCAGCTCTCGCTGGACGCTGTTGCAGGGATGCACACGTGGTGCTTTGGTGTCTGAAGTCCGACTGGGGAGAAGGGGGCCAGTTAAGGAGTGAAGGGAGGTGCTTGGCCAGTCCAGCTGGTCCCATGTCTCTGTCCACGGGTCTGTGACCTCAGGGGAAGAGCGATGAGGTCAGACTACAGTTCAGCCTTCTGCCAAGACCCTTACGAAACTCGGGCATGCCTTCCCACGCACACAGTGGCCGCCCGCACCTGTGGGGACACGGGCTGCTGTGCTCTCTCAGGCTGGACCGAGAGCCATAAACACGGTGCGAAGTTCAGCCACCGAAACCACTGTGGGTGAACTGGACACCCGAGGTCCTGCAGAGCCAGATCGCCTGACCCCAGGGGCTCCTTCACATGGGTGACAGAGGCCGGATGGGGGAAAACGAGACATGGGGGCTGAGGGTCACCTGAGTTCTCTCGACCACTCACTGTGGAAATAAGAGTGGACCACCACCTCCCTGGGGACCCGGCCGGGCGTGGATGAGGACGGGGTTCGGGATCCTGAAACTAAGGTGCGGGGGCAGCTCTGCTCAGGAGCATGTCACCTGGCTCTCTCCAACCTCAGGGTCCCCATCTGCAAAGTGGGACCCCAAGAGTCATGGGCAAGAGCACTGGTAACATCTGGCTGCTAACCAAAAGGTCTTCGCTGCCCCCAGCCCCAGCCTCCAGGTCCCAGCCCCAGGCCCCTCCGGGAGGAAGCTGTGTCTGCCTGCTTCTGTGACGAGGGTCTGGGGAGCCCACAGGGTGGCTCACTCTGTCCCGAGCTCGCTGAGTCAGAATGGACTTGGGGCAGTGACTTTGAACTCTCGCAACCCTGACCCCTTCAAAGGGACGCTGGGGGCAAAGCAGTTAAGTGCTCGCTGCTACCCCAAAGATCCGTGGTTTACACCCTCAGGTGCTCCTTAGGGGAAGAGCGGGGCTGTCTGCTTCCATCAAGCTGCCCAGCCTGAGAAACCCTAGGGGCAGGGCCCATCCCAAGGGGTCGACAGGGGTCGGCGTCCACTCCATGGCATCCACTCCACATCTTGCCTAGCAACCACTATACGAAAAAGCACCAGACACACCACTGCCTCCAAGCCAATCCCAACACCAAGGTCTCAGAGCAGCGGTTCTCAACCTGTGACTCTCGACAGGTTGGGGCCGAATGACCCTTTCCCAGGGGTTGCCCGGTTCATAGCAGTAGCAAAATGACAGTGATGAAGTAGCAACAAAAATAATTTCATAGTTGGGGAGTCACCACCATGAGGAACTGTATCAAAGGGTTGCGGCATGAGGAAGGTTGAGAACCACTGTCTTAGAGCTTTCTGAGACCACATCTTTAAGACAGCCTCCCCTTCCTCCCTCGGAGAGGCTGATGTGTTTGAACCCTCAACCTTGAGGTTATCAGCTCAATGATTAACCCAGCAAATGGCAAATACCAGTAAAGGCCACTCAAAAAACGCACTGCTGTCGAGTTGATTCTGACTCAGTGGTCCTAAAACTGCTCCATCTGCATCGAGACTGCAACTATTTACAGGAGGAGAAAACCACATCTTCTCCCATGGAGCGGCTGGCGGTACAGAACTGCTGAGCCCCCAATGAGTAACCTATGCCACCAGGGTTCCTCCAGGAAACACCACAAGCCCCCAGGAAATAGCAGTCCTGGTTGGGGTGGGGGTGGGGGGTGTACAGTGACAGCCATGGCCCCGATATGCCCGGGGCTGGCAGGGACCCACATCAGGAGCAGCAGGGAGCAGGTGTGAGGGGCCTCCCTGCGGGAAGGAGCCCAGAGAGCACTGGCCAAGGACAGGATTTGAGCAAGAGCAAGGGCAGGGGTCAGCCGGGTCACAGGAGGATGCGGCACAAAGGGATCCTGGGCCCCTGGGCAGAGGAATCCCACCAATACCCAATAGCAGGTCCGGGCATCCTCCCTCCCCCCATCCGCTTGGCCAGTGTTCAAGCTAAATCCTGAGGGGCCAGAAATACACCTC